AGCAGTGGTGCGCGGCGAGCCCTTCCCTCTTCAGGTTTCTCTCTCCGAGAGAACCACTACGTTGCGTCGACACAGCCCGATGTTTCTGCACGCCTAGGCAGCTCTGCCCGGGTACATTGTAGCATGCACACACGTGCTGATGTACCAGGGAGCCTAATTACGTGCACAAAGCCGGACCGTGCCATGCACACGCGCGTGCAGGCAGGAGCGGGAGAGGGCACGGCCTGGCTTGTTCTGGCAAGTCCCCTGCTGCCCGGAGGCATTTAAAGGCTCAAAATATCAATTACAGGCTAACGTCCTCGGTGCTGATTCATCCCTTTTCATCTTGGTGGCTTTCCACGGCCGTCTCGGCCATGCCAAGGGATGGATTCCTCCGGTTCCCAGCTGGAGACAGGGGACCTGCCGGCTCGCTTCCCTCCCTGGGCCTGCTGCTGTCCAGACCGCACGGCCACCAGCTTCCGGGTGACAACGCGCAGCGCCTACCGCCGCCTGCATTGCCCCCCTCCAGGCACCCGCATGCTCAGCGACAAGCAGCAAAGCATGTAGGCCGCAAGCACCGTGAGGAAGGGGAGCCTGGCGGTCGAGGACGTGGGCAATGGGAGGTCATATCCCAGCTTTGCCAGGACAGGTGGCTAAATCTGGGGTGCTGGCAGCAGCAGGAGACGTGCCCCAGCCAGCAGGCACATCGTGCCCCCTCTCCATGCCTCACTTCCCCCCTGGGTGGTGGGGATCACGACATGGACCCCTCGGGGGGCTACGAGCGGTCCTTGGAGACCCTCGGGTGGTGGGCGAATGCTCGCTGCCACCTCCCACTCCCAGGCCAATGCCCGGCGAGATCTCTTGGCATTGCCCCGATAACACGGGCTCCAGGCACGCTGTCAGGGCTGGGCTGGTTTATCAGCAATGAACTACCCAACAAAGTCATCCGGAGCCTGGTCTGCTTGGGGTCCTGGCTGCTTTCTCCAGCGCGGCAATGCACGCATTGAAGTCTCTGACAAACAGCGTGTGTGACTCAAGTTCACTCCTTTGATCTCTCCCATGGGCACCCCGGTCTCTGCCTCCCCCACCCTCGACTAATCTCTGGGGAGTTTCCTTCCGATGTCCCTTATCAGCGCTGGAACAACACGGCCCCGGGGCCGCTCCCTGCCCGCCGGAAGGCAATGCCCTGCAGGGAGCTGGCCTCACCTGCAGAAGAGGTGAGTGTTTGAGGAGCCGGGCTGCCCGCCACTTGCCCCCGCTGCACTTTGTGCCCCACGAGGAATGCCCCTGGGGAAGTGCGGCGCTAAATCCACACTGCCGAGTGTGTGCAAACAGCGCCGAGATAAGGCAAAAAGGGTCCGACTCAGCTTGGCTTGCTCTGAAGTTGCTGGACCTGGGGCTTCAACGTCGAATCGTAGCAGCTGGAGCTGCATTTGCATTACCTACCTTCTCCGGGAGGCCCCACACCGCTGGGGTCCACCTCGCGGGTAGCAGGCCCGCAGCGGGGCCTGGTGTCAGGACTGATCTTGTGGCCTCAGGACACAAAGGGAGAGGGCGCCGATGACAGCGGGGGTGGCACGAAGCTGGGAGATGCTGGCAGTCCAGGGGAGCAGGAGCTCCAGGCAACCTCGAGGGCTGCACTGAAAGCAACGGGGGTTTAGCAGTGACAAGTGCAAGCTTATGGAGCAGCCTCCCAGTTGCCAACTGGTCTTAGGCTGGAGCCTGGTAGGAGCCAGTGCCCTCAGCTGGCCCTGGTTACCTGAATGGGCCTGATTGCTACCACCTTACCGCTGCCAGCTAGCCCTGGCTCTCTGCAGGGGATTGCCTGCTGGCTTACAAGCAGCTCTCCCAATGCCCTGCCTCCCATTCCTCACCTCCGGGCTCACGATCCCACCCAGGGTGCCTGCATACATCAGTGCTTCTCACCCTGGTTAGACTTGAGGCCCTCAGAAATTGTCGGCACTTGGCTTTCGTTCCTTTTTCGCCTACGGAAAAATCCTCAAGTGATTCTTTTGGTGCGGAGAGCTCAGGAAGCCGGAGACAGGTCAGCATGCTTTGGATGCTCTGCATTCCTGCTTGCTTGACACGGCTGGGTTTATCCTTCGAATCGCATCTGCACGCCTAATAGGGCTAACACTGCATGGCACCCTTGAAAGGATCTCAGGGTGCCCCAAGGTGCTGTAAGACCCTGCTGAGAATCACCGATCTATGTCCTCGTCCCTTGCAGACCGACCTCGGCCTCCTGACTCCCTTGTTTCGTGGCCTTTTCTCTTCTTGATCCCTTGGGTCGTGACCCTTTAGGCCAAGCCTCGTCTGCCTACGTCCTGGTTGCAGCCCTGGCAGAGTGAGATCAGGCTGTAGGAGGGCTTGTGCAATGCAGTAGCCTGTGACAGATGGGATCGGCTGGGACTTGATGACACAGGAATGCCCTTTAGGTGCTTCTGTTCCTCTTCCCAATGCCCCGGGGGGGGGGGGGAGGTTTATGCTCCCCCCTACCATGATGATACCTGTTGTGTCAGATCAGTGGCTGCCTGGGGTTTTTCCAAGGTGCGGGCTGCTCCTTGGAGCAGGGTTTTGCTGGGAGGCACCGGCTGGTTAGGAACTGGGGGGGCAGGTGCACTTCCTTTGTCCATCACCATTCAGACACGCTGCAGGGAGCAGAGGGCTGGATGGGCACCGGGCGCAGAGAGGACCGGGCACTCTGCAGTGCACCAGGGCAGACAGGCAGCTCCTGGGGTCCCGGCTCCATGCATTTCTGTCTGCAACAGCCCAGCCCACGTGCAGCCCCTGCTTCAGGGCTGCAGCTCCAGGGACCCTGCCGGGCATTTCCCACCCGCCCCAAAAGATGGGCTGGATCCAGGGATTTTGGCGTCGGGCGGTATTCCCGCTCCTTCGCCCCCACCCGCGGCCCTGTGCCAAGGCAGGCGTCTGGCCACCGCCCAGCCACAAGCCCTGGCGTGCATGAGGAATGCAGGGAGCTGGAAGCCTGCGCCTGGACGAGCTAATTCGGTCCCGGCAGGCCTCGGGCTGGGAGCCGGACCCGGACATGCATTCAGACCCCGTGAGGGTTCTGGCTTTTTCTGAGACGCGGTGCAAACGAGGCTTGATTTACTGGGGGGCTCGAGTACCAGCTGGACCCTTCCTGTGCTACATCCCAGGGTTATCTACGCTGTGTCAGCGGCGGATCTTGCAGAGGATGGGGAGCAAGCGCTCGAGAGCTGGCATGCGGGTGGGTCTGGGGGAGGCACGCAGCCCTCCCGAGCTGCGGCTCAGCCTGGTGGAGGTGGTTGGGGGCCAGGGCCCAGCTCCGCTTGCCAGACATGGGTGTCCCACCCTGTGATCCAGGCCAGCTAAATGAGGGGTCATCGGTGGTGTGGAGTCGCTTCGCCCTGCTGGGGAGAGGCTGTGCCCTGGGCCTCGTGGCCCGGGCCACTCACAGCGGGACATCCCACGGGCCCGGCTTTCTCCTGCCTCCTTATTGAGGTGCCTGGTTTAACGGTAGGAAGTGGGCGGCTGTAATTAATACTGCAAGGGTGAGGCTTGGGAGGTACAAAGTACCCTCCGGCCCGAGGGGAACCACAGCTGTCCACCCCAGCCACAGCTGCCCCCTCCCCTCCGGAAATGCCCAGAATGCACTGCTTTGGGGTGCTAAGGGTGAGTCGTGTGGGGTAGGTTTACCCCCTGGAGCATTTGCAGGCTTGAAGCTGGGCTCGTTTGGACCTGCTACAAAGCTTCTCATACCCGGGGCATGGCCGGGCTGGATCAGTGCTCCAAGCGCCACAAGAGTCGGGATTTTCACCCCTGGAAGTGACAGCTGAACAGGGCCCTACATACGAATCCTCCTCCACTGCCTCTAGAGAGCAATGGCCGAGGTCAGCGGGGAGCAGCTGTGCAGGAGCAGGGGGAGCCTGGGGTCCTCTGTCCGTAGGGCAGGCAGTGACCGCGGGCTGCACGTGAGGCCGTGACATCCAGGCTCCATCTAACAGATCAGCTCCATGCTTGGGGGTGCAGGCATCCCCTGGGAGGGGGCAGTCTCTCTTGTATGCAGGAGCATCGCATCGCCATGGACCCGGGTGGCATGGGAAGGCCACGTAACGCACGGCGTTTTGCATGCATGACACTCCACCCCAGAAGCAGCTGCATTTGATCCACAATGCTGTATGCAATGCCCTGGAGATCCTGTACACGGCGAGGCTCTCCAGAAATGCCCCCTTCTGTTGCGGTCTCTGGCCCTACGCCCTCCTGCACGGGGGTGGGTCTGCCTGGTCATCCCCAGCATAAAATGCACCAAGAAAACCTCCAAGTTGCTCCATCCTGGCACCATCCGATCCATGAGGATGACTCAGTGGCCACAGGGAAGCGTGGGCGGGGGAGAGGAGGGAGCAGAGGAGGGCTGGCGCCCGGCAGAGGGAAGGATAACACCACCCTGACCCCCATGGCGAAGGGCTCAGAGCCGCAGGTGCGCAGCTCGGCTCCGCTGCCCCCCACCAGGCCAGGCCTCAGCTCGCTTCACTCCTGGCATCTCAGGGCAGCCGGTTCCCCTCGTGACTGAACTGGACTTTGATTTTTATTTAACCCTGGGCAGCGGCCCAAGTCAAACAATCCCCCTCCAGAGGCAGCGCAGCCCTTGCCTCACCTCCGGCCCCGCAGGGACTCCTTTGAAAAGGAAGTTGCCCTTCACGCTCCAGTCCCCACCGGATTCGCGGATGAGCCAGCCCGATGGGCTTGGGCGAGCTCTGATCTCGGAAAGGGGCCGGGGGTGATGTGGAGAGGCCCAAATCCAGCCTCCGCGAGTGAGATCCTGGCCCAGTGGGGATGGAGCTGAGCTCAGACACGCTCACGTCACCCCAGGGGCTCCCTAAGACAGAGGTTTGATTCTCAACCAGGGGCTCTGAGCTGCAAAAATCATCTCCACACCCACCTTGCTGGGGTCAGTCTTTCCTGCCCAAATGCCCGTGATCATCCTGGACCCGATGACCTGCCCCTAACATCTATGAAATTCCTATTATTAATGCTAATTGTTTATTATGAATGATCTTATCCAGTGTTTCTCCGCCTTTTTGAGCCAGCAACCCCTTATTCAGAGTCAAAAGCATCCGCGATCTCTTTACGTTGACTTAGAAAAATAAGAACAAAAACCGTATTGGCAATCGCTGCATCACCTCTGTCAGCCAGTCCTGCCGCTGCTCCGCTTGACCTCACTTCCCTGGGGCATTTTAACCGCTTGGTTAATCCCTACCATGCGCTGTTCAGGATGGGACGGGATGGTTGGGTTGGCGGGGGAAGTTCTCCTTCCTGACATGGTTTGATCTCTGTGCCTGCGTGGAAACCTTCCCTCTGTTTCGTGCCTCTAGGCACTGTGTTAAACACATCCGTGCGGGCGCTCCGTCACTCTCTCTGCCGCTGACACGGGTTTATTGGGCACCTGGTTCTTCAGCCCAGCTGATGTGTGAGTTGCTTGTATGCCAACACCATCCCTTCCCTTTCTAACGAGGCTCCTCCGTTGGCCTCAGTGCTCCATTACATCACCATAATAAATAATTAGCTTTAATAAGGATCATTGGGGCTTACACAACCCACTTTGCTCCAGAAGCACAAAGCAATTTTGGAAGTGACTGGGTGAGGCTCTTCGCACTTGGTGTCATGGGAAAATATGATGAGGCCCATTTTTGAACCCAGGTCCCATGGCGGAGCTGGGGATGGGAGCCAGGAGGCCTGATGAGCTCTGCTTGGAAAGGATCGTGGATAACTGTAAGTGGAAAATGTTGTCTCGCTGGACTGGAAATATTTCTTCGGGGGTTTTGGCAAGAAAGGGTCCTCTGTTTGAGGCTGGAGTTGCTGATCCAAAGGGGGCATAGCCATATGCACACACCACCCCACTCCTGCAGCGGTGGGCTTGAGCTATCAGAGACCAGTGTTCAAATCCCTGCTCTGCCTGTCTCAGGCTCGGGTCTCTGAATGACGTGACCGGCAGGGAGGTCTCTTTTTGGTTTTTGAAGGTCTCCATTTCATCCTGTCGTGCAATTTCGGAGAACGTTCACAGGCTAGGAGGGCCGCGTCCTGCCCATGCCCGAGCCCTGGATCCCCCCAGGCCAATGGGAGATGCGCCCCTGCTGGGAGGGCTGTAAAACCCTCCCGCTTCCTGCAGCAGCAGTGTTGGGTGCTGGTGCCTTGGTCTTGCTCGCTTGAGGCTGGTTGCTCTTGTATCTGTTTTGGACCTCCTGGCCTTGATGAACTGCTGGCCCTGGCCATGATCTTGGCTTGACCCCCTGGGAAGCAGACTGAAACCTGGCTTTGACCTTGGCTCCGACTCCGGTGCTGGTTCTCCAGTGCCTCGGTCAACCCCAGGTGACGTCTCCAGCAGGCAGACGTTGGCACAGTGCAGTTGATTTGAATGCAGCTGTGCCAACTTCCTTCTGCTGTGGGCCTCAGGGGGGGAAGTGCCTGACTTGCCACCGAAACCCAGGGGAGGCCAGCAGCCCAGTCCCCCTGGGCACGGGTCAGGAGCTGCTGGCAGGCAAAGTGCCACCTGATGCTGAGGTTCAGCGCAAGGCCTGTCCCTGCAGAGCTCCCGCTGGAGCATCTTGCTCAGGATCTCTGTGTCCATGAAGCTTGGCCAGATGGACACCAACTTGACCGGTAGGTTGCAATGGCACGAGCTCCTCAGCCTCTGCATTTGGGGGCTGTAGCGATTTCATGTCCTCGGTGT